ACAAAATGATTTAAACTTAAAATAATATAATTCAAAATATAAACAAATTACGTGATAAGTAAAGATATTATGTTATTACTATATACATCACAAAGCCCTTAGTTTTGATTTTAACTCTTGCAACTTGTTCATTTTAAAACAGACTTCAATGCTTGAATATTTTTTTTAATTAATGGTTGTACTAACTAGATTAAATTTGATCAAAAAAAAGTTTAATAGAAAAAAGGGCTAAGGGGGAGGGGGAGGGGAGGTCAAAAATTGGTCTTAATCCTTTTTTTAATTTCTAGACTTACACTTTTACTGAACATATCTTCCCCTTACAAAATTATGTATAAAATAATGAAAAACTATTTGCTTCAATATTTTTTAATATATTTTACAAAAATTTAAAGGGGAAGGATCATTCTTTTACTTTTTTTTCTTTAAAAGTGCTAAGTTGGCACAATTTAGTTAAAAAGCATCTTTTTTGTTATAGGAGTTTACTAGGTTTACTAGAGCCAACTTAGTACTTTTTGAGATAAATTATTTTTGAGATAAAAATTAGTTAAAAAACACTAAAATTTTGCTAAAATTTAGTTGTTTCATTAGGTATAACATGTAAAAAAAAAATTTGTGCAATAATCTATGAAGTTAACATTCACATTTCCACAAACTGCAGTCAAAGATTGTTTCTACATACAATTATCACATTAGCACTGCTTATATAGTGACATTTTTCTTACATAATGCTAAAAATGAATTTTATGTATCATTTTATACCTATAACATTTTCTCATGCATCCTTTTGTGTAGAATTTACGTTATTCAAACTAGTATATTCCCTAAAAATATTTTTGTGGGCGTGTGGGCGAGTCCGAAAAGACTTGAGCACAAAAACGCTGGCTAAACAGAGAAGACTGTATTAGATGACTACATATTTAGTTAGATCCATGATACCATCATCTAAGTGCAAATCATCTTTATTATCAAGACTTATATCATCATAAGTCTTTTTCCAATAAAATCACATTTGCCATTACATTGAGTAGAATTAAAATGATTTAAAAAAATACCGCTTTTACTTAGTGGCTCATGTAATATCTTATAGCAATAAATACAGTAAACGCATTTATTGCTATAAGATATACTTGCTGTTTTTAAATTTCATCTATATCTTGAGGATCTAGTTTAAAACTTTTGATGAAGAATTGCTTACGCTTTTGCTGCACAGGAGTTAATTATTTTTAATTTTAATTAGCCTTAATTATTTGGAATTGATCATGCATTCAAGGTGTTGTTACTTGAACTCAAAGTTATTTGTTTATTTATATTTAGATATTTAAATTTAGAAATTTATTAAAATAAAAAATCATATTACTGTAAAAACAAAATTCTGTTATACACCCAAAAAAAATTGCCTAATTTTATGCAAAATACTCAAAAAAGATGTGTATGAGTTGCATTTTAAAAATTAAACAAAAAGAAAGTGTGTTGTGATGTATCTTTTGTTTCTTGTAAGACTTGCCTCATTAACTGATCACTTATAATTAAAACAAATTTATCACATATTGTTGGCGATATATAATAAGCGGCTTCTATCTTTAGAAATTCTTGCAGAACACATTTAACTTTATCTTTTCTACTGATCTGCACTTAAACCGGTTCTTCTTTATTCTTCTACTGGTTCTTCTTCATTCTTCAACCAGTTCTTCTTTATTCTTTAACTGATTATTCTTAATTCTTTAACTGGTTTTTCTTGTTTATGATTTTTAATTAATGTTGACCGCTCTAAAAAAAATAATTATGCAATTTTACTTTTGTTTGACTTATATAATCTAACTTCTCATGGCTAAATAAATGGACAAATTAATTGTCATAAAAACTAAACCACTACATAACATTGATGGGTTATAAAAGCAAGTTGATAAATTGGTGATTATCTTTTAAATTAAACTGATTAATGTCTAAAAACAATAAAATAGAAAAGCTTGTATCTAGAGATGAAATTGTTGACAATAAATTTTTAATGATGAAATCATTTAAATAAAAAAAATAAACTGATTATTCTTAAAAGTATGGCTTAAATATGAAATGCTATAATTGATCAACCTTAACTTAGGCTTTAATATATTTTCAATTCTACAATGTATGCCAATATGCTAAATATTACATTTTTATAACACTATACTGTTAACACAATTTAAATTTACTGACTAGTATATATTTTAAAATATATAAACAGACCTATCTGGTGTGGTATTCATTTAAATGAACACCATGCCTGAGGTTCAAACAGAATGAATAAATCAAGTTCTTTTTAACTTAAAAAATGAACAAAGTAACCAAAAATATTAAACATAAAAAACCATCACCACAACCTAACTCTTTCAATATATCTTTTATAAACATTGATGATCTTTGAAGTAATTTTCCATCAGTTGAATGATGGAAATTTGCAACTTGCAAAATTTAACAGACTTATTTGCTTTTTGAGAGACTTGCTTGAATTAGGCTATTTCTTCTTCAAATCTCAGGCTTGATGGTCTATTGATTTTCAAAGACTTCAATAGTTACATGCTTGGCTTGGACAAATACTTATGCATCAATTCACTAATTTGTTGAGAAATCAGGTTTGAATCCTTTGACCATTCCTTTTATATGTTTCTGCTTAATACTCAATCACTTTTCTTGTTTTCTTTATCGTTCTTCTTCTTCTCAAGACTGGAAAAAAAAAGTAAAATTCAATCAAATTGACCAAACCCATTCACTTTATCCCTAGCCATTATTTTGTTGATTTTACTAACAACTCTAATCACTTACTTTCACTCCTTGATTTGTGTCTTGTCTCTGACTTCTCGCATCTTATCTCAGAAGCTAGGCTCTTAAGACTTTTAGAAAACCTTTTTGAGAGTCATTAACCAAGGTAAGTTAAACACTTCATCCTTTAACACATCGGTCTGATCTTATACTACTTCCAAAATAAAGTAGAACTATTTACAAAGAACTTTTACTCTAAGGCTACTCTTAAATCTATTAGCCATACTCTTCCTGCCATTCCAATTAAACAGGTTAAATCAATGTTAGACATCCAAATCACTGCAGCTTTTGTTGCTAGAGTTTTCTCTAAACTATTTAATAAGTGCTTAACTAGATATTGTTTTCCTGCTTTGTCTGTGGTTTCAATTTAAAAAAATTCTGAAGAACACTTTGACTTCTTTAACTATCGTCTGATCAGTCCTCTCTATTTTTAACAAGGTCTTTGAATCTTTATTCTTTAACTAATTTCTAACATCCAATTTTGAGTCTAATAACTTACTTTATCAATACAGTTTTCAATCTTCTTGTTTTAAGGCTAACTTATTGACAATCTTCTTGTTCTATGGCTAACTTGTTAACTGATCTAACTGAAAGATTCATACATTAGAAAAGATAAGGACTATTGCACTTGAAATATCAAAACTCTTGACAAAGTTTAGCATACTGGTCTTCTCCATAATATTATTTTAAATGCTGTATCTGTGAAAACTTATGAGATTATCAGGTCATTTCTTTTAACCGCTTTAGTAAAGTCGTCTTCTAAGGCCAACACTTTTCTTCAATTTCAGTAACTTCTGAGGTACCTTAAGGTTCTATTCTTGGTCATATATCAATTCTTACCTACATTAATGATCTTCCTGACAACATTAAAGCTATATTGGCTGACGACTCAACTTTATCTCTTTCAAATTGAATCTTTCTTCTGTAACAGCTTGGGGCTTTTAGTAGCTTGTGAATTTTAACTCCAACCTAACTCAAAGGTTTACTGTAAACAACTATCACGATATTGTCAACATTTCTATATTAATGAATGGCATAAATTGATTGCAAAGTTAACATCTAATGTCAAGGTTGCTTCTTATTATTGTGCTCACCATTATTTTATCCTTGACTGCGTTTTCTACATCTACAAATCTTTTATTTATCCTTGTATGGATATAACTGTATGGAATACTGTTGTCATACTTGGTCTGGTTCTTCTAATGGTGCTCTTTCTCTTCTAGAAAAGTTTCAAAAAAGGTTGCATCTTTTTATCTTTTCTAAAAATTCTATAATGGTTGCTGCTCAAATGATATATATATTTAATATATTTAATATATTTAATCTTTTTAACACAAAATATTATGTGTTAAAAAGTTGTTTTTTAGGTTCAAATATTTATAAGATGGTAACATTTCACTACGATGGTGTTAAAACGTAACAAAGACATCCACCCTTTAGTCTAAAATATACCACTAATATTTGGAAATGTAATGGAAGCAAATTAGAACAATTTTTTGTGTATAAAGATAACAAGTTTTATCAGAAAAACACTCTTTCGTGTGAAAAACTTGTATTTTTTCAAGGTTACGATGGTAATCCAATACCCCCTCTGGCCCTCTAGACACCCCTTTTATCTAGAAAACTATATGAACTTGTAGCCTACTATTACATCTATCTTTTGATACCAAGGTATAGGCATTTGGATAAGATTTGAAGTTTAAACAATTTTAGTGAAAAAAAAATAAATTTTGGAACCAGTTTCTTCAAGAAATCCATATATCGCAAATTTGCTACTAAAAACGTCATAACTTTTTTTTAAATTGTTCGTTTTTAATAATTTTTTCACCATTAAAATACTTTATTGAAGGGCTTTCTAATGATATATAACATTCTAGTATATGCTCAATTAAAAAAAATCAGTCCACGTACCTACATTAATACCTGGTCAGTTTCTATGGGGTACAGTGAGGGTCATTGACATATTTTAAGTAGTACTTAACATTTTAAAGCTATAAATTTCCATACTCCATAGTCTAATTAAAATTAACGAAAAATTGATTCAAATTTTTTTCAAGAGTCCTTTTTGTAACTTTCCATCAATAATTATTTCTAATATTCAAGTTTATAAACAATAATATTACTTACAAATTAAAATTTTAACTGATTTTAAATTTAAATAATACAAACTTTTTATATTTTACTTATAAATAGCATAAACTTACATCTATAAATATTTCTTTTGATGATTGCTGAAACGATGTATTTTCATATTTTACAATTTTTACGGATTCATTCAAATCATGATTTTGATATGCCACCTGTTGATTGGAAACTTCTTTTAATGGTGGATTGTTTACTTTAATTGAAAAAAAATTGAACAGTTGAGATAACAGCCATTTTCTAGTTCCTTTACCATTAATATCTTCAGATTTATTATCTAACAGATTACTATTCATTTTATCTTTTATATAAATTTAATATAATGTATATTTCATTACTTCAGATTTTTTCCTAAAAATTACGAAATGTGTAATGACGTGTTTGTTTACGACGAGTACGGACCTTCGAAGTCAGTTAAAACTAAATTCAAGTTTCGCGTTTTTTATAAAATCCTTACCCGAATTTAATAATAAGTGCTTGAATTCACGGTCGTTTAGATAGTAAAAAGCGCTATGTTTAGGTACGCATGCGTAATAAAATACGAAAAACTTTTGAACTTTTAAAATGGTTACGGCTGTTAGCTACACAGAATACTTTATATGGCAACAGTTTATTTGTTAATTAATTTCTGAAAAGCCAATGATATAGCCTTATTGTTAACGTAAATCAATAAAATAATACAAAAATTTCACATAAATATAAATAAATAGAGGTAACAAAAATCTTTGCACGCTAAAACTGTTTTTTTACTTAATACTTTTATATATCTATCTATTATAAATTTTATATTTATATATAGGTAGATTTAAATGACTTTGAACTTTAAAAAATATTAAAAACAAAAAGTTTTGACATTAGTAGTTGAATGTTATACAGTATGGTAGAACAGGGATGGGTTTTCATGAAACTAGTTTTTTATGAATAAAGTTACATTTAATGTTTGATCATTGTTTATAGTGCAATATAACAGATAAAAAAGCTCTAAACAAAAATAATTCTTTATAATTATTCTTACAACTAAAATCTCCATAAATTTTTTTTATAAGTTATTAATATTTTATTAACTTTGCTTGACTATGGCAAGGATATTTCAGAAACGGTTTGACCAAAACTTATTGTATTTAGACAGTTTATTGACTATGTATAAAGTTGTGCAATAAACCTCAAAATTATATAAATGTATGTGTTAAAAACAAAATATAGCCGTTTTTTAATCACCATGGAGTGTAAAACTAGCACCGCTTTTTAATCATTTAACGAAATGGTAGCAAAACCCTATTACAAATGTTGAAAAAAAAAAATCATAATTTTTTTTATTGCTTCTTTACTTAATTTAAACATTGCAGATTCCAAAAATATGCATTTGAGATAAGTTATACGTTCCATTATAAAGAAATTTACGTTTTTTGGTTTTTACGTTTTAAGAATGAAAAATATTCTCCATAGCAACACCTTAGCAACCGTATCAGTTTTTCCTGCACGTTTTTTGACACAAAACTTTTAATTTTGTGTAAAACTGCAAAATGCATTTTTCACATTGTTTACTTAATTTTACAGCATTCAGTTATTTAAAAGTTAAAGTTTTAACTTTAATGATGATATTTAAAAAGCAAGAAGTAATGTTGTTAATGTTGTGTTGATGTCAACACAGAAGCTATAGTGACTTTTTCCTATATTTTCTTAGTAATACAAATAATTGCATTTATTCTTAATATGTTTACAGATTCATTAAATATGGTTAATATTAAAAAAAAAATAAGATTAAACACATAAAGATATTTTTTCATCTAACAGATATACATGTGCTACAATAAATCAAATTGATAAACCAAAAGTAAAGGAAACAGTTTCATCATCAAAAATCAGTTTAGATGATTCACTTCTAACTGCTGACGAAGGAGGTTCTAACATCTTTATAATAATGCACTTTAGAGTACTGCAAAGTTGTCTTCAACATTTGAGTGAATGCCTAGATTGTGGCGACTAGGTCACTGTCAGTCTTGACCAGATAAAAAAAAAATTAGGACTCGAATAACCTTAAACTAGAATGTATACTTTATGATTGGAGTTTTACTCGTTATCGTTAAACACATTCAAAAAGTCAATGCACGTAATGTAAAGAGTTTTCGCGAGATTGTTTGTGGACATGAAGCTTCAAAGACATTTGCTGGTTGTATGAATATGCCACCTCCAATGAATTTTAATTCATATAAAACATTGATAATCCTTTACATAATATCTATGACTCTGCTTCATCTGAATGTATGAAAAAAGCTGCAGATGAGATTAGAACTTCTGCAAATACTGGTAATTCAATACATCAACTTCCAGTTGATTGTGATATTAGCTTAGATGGAACATGACAAAAGCAAGGATTTTCTTTTTCAAATGGTGTTGTTTTATCTATCTTTAAAGACAATAAAAAGGTTTTAGATGATTATGTTATGTCTAAGTTCTATAAGAGTTGTGCGGTCTGGAAGAAAAAGAAAAATAGTAAAATCACCGTTGTGGTATTAACCACTCAAAATCGAATGGAGCAAAGATATCCGCTGGAGCTATAGAAATTTTTTACTCAACAGTTGAAAAATATGGTTCAAGATATGCACACTACGTAGGTGATGGATACACACTACATAGGTGATGGTTACTGCTTCATTTAATGATGTAGTACAGTCTAAACCATATGGTGATGACTTGATCCCCATTAAATGAGAATGTATTGGCCACATTCAAAAGTGCTCTCTGGTGGAAAAAAGATTAATGGTACGGATAGGTTAACAGGTTTAGCAGTTAATACTATGGAAAACTTTTACATAAGGCTATAAGGCAGAATAAAGAACTAACATTAATGAGGCGTACAGTTGATGCAATTCTCTATCATTGTTCTGACATAAATTTCGAAAGCCGCCGTTTGTTTTGCGATCAAATAACAAATAGTTGTTGTAAATGGCAAAGAGATAAACTTGAAGGTACAAGTACCAACATAGCACATTTCAAAGTCGTAAACCATAATATAAATATAAATAGCAAGGACAAGAAGAGGACATAACTAGTCTTGTCATCAAGCCCCTTAAACTTTAGAACAAGTATCATTAAAATAGTACCATTAAAACGAAAGAAACATTTTATTATCATTATGTAGTTGGGAAGTAATTTATTCGGAATTTAAGCTTTTGCGACAAACACCTAAATTAAATTACTAATAAGTAATTTAAGACGCAAGTTTTAACGTATAATCAATTTTTTACAGAATTTAATAAGATTGCCTTACCCGCTAGTTTTTGGTCATTTTTGTAGCATACAGTTTTTATACGATTTATCGTACACAGCATTCCCACTGGCTGGGTTTAAACGTAGGAGAGTACCGAAAAATTCATATAATAATTCATATTAAATTCATATAAAAATTCATATAAATTACCTTTAGCGCATTAATTTTAATAAGATTTTTTCGACACTCACCTAAAAAAAAAAAAACCCAGGCTGTGGCAACGCTGATCGTACAAATAACTTCGCCTTTTCTAAACTGGAATTATGACGTAACGCAATAATTCTTGAACATCATTTAAAACATTTTATAAAATATTTCAAATGTTTTTGACTCAACAACAACCTGTTGCGCCACTCCAAAATTAATGTCCGATAAATTCAGAAAACACAAATTTTAATTCATTAGCTTTCTTTTTAAAATGATCAAATTTTTATCTCATTAATATAGTAGCACATATTAATGGTAATTGTATTATAATTTAGGATAATATTTTGCACTTGGATTTATAAAGTTGAAATTACATTATATAAGAACTGAAAAACTAATCTTTTTTAACAAAATTACAACAACAAAAAATTTACAAAAGAAAATTCTAAAAATATCAAAATATATTCTGGTAACTTTGTTCATTGAATGGAAGAAAAATACTCTTCTGAATCTTTCACACCAGGTTTAATCTTTAAAAAAAAAAAGGATTATGTTTTATTTAAAAAAAATTTAAAGCACAATAATCAATTAGAAAAAAATATATATATATTTTACCGCTTTTGCACCTGGAGTCCAATTAATAGGACAGTTTTCACCGTGTTTTTCAACAAACTGAAACGCTTGTACTAATCGAAGAGTTTCATCCACATTTCTACCGACAGGAAGATCATTCACCGTAATTTGTCGTAAAATACCCTTGTCATCAATAATAAACAAACCCCTAAAAGATTTTTATTATATAAATAGAAATCAGCAATAACCGAGTCTATACCTAAAACAAAAAAATTCAAGCCATAAAACATGTAATAATTTGATTCTTATATCAAATAGAAACCTAAGAGAAATTCCTGCATCTTCTAGAAGAACACCATAGTCTCGAGAAATTTGTTTTGTTAAATCTGATAGGATAGGTATATTCATATTTCCTAGACCACCTTTGTTTCTTGGTTGCTTGGTCCTATAAAATAAATTATATACTACTATATTTTTACTACATTAATACATACAATACTACATTTTTCAAATTATATCGTTGAGTGAAGGAAAAAGTTCTGTTTGAATCCCTCTTTTAACCTGTTTTTAAATACAAGTATAATAATTGAAGATAAAATTGTGAAGTCATATAATTATTTTAAAATTTAATACTTACCAAGCCAAGTGAGAATATTGCGAGTCAACTGAACATGCTAACACCTCACAGTTAATTGCATTAAACTCTTTCACTCGATCGCTAAAAGCGATTATTTCAGTGGGGCATACAAATGTGAAATCAAGAGGATAAAAGAAGAATATTAGATATTTGCCTAAACAATAAGAACTTCATAAATAAATGAAAAGAAATAAACGAAAACGCCTAAAATAAAATAAGTTAACTGAAAATATTACATATATATTCAGCAAAAAACAACAAAATTAAAAAAAAAAAAAAAAAAAAAACAAGTGCAAAAAATTAACTATAAACTGCATTTTGTTAAAACAATGATTTTTAAAAAATACAGTTAACTGTTATTTAATTAAAAAAACACCATAGCTAAGAAAAAATTTTCACTTTTTCTATTGAAATTTTTTTCCAAAATTCTCACTAAGCTTAGAGGGGTTTTTTTTGAGGAGGGACAGACGGGTAATGGGGATTGTGGAAACCAAAATTTACACTAATTGGGAATTACACTAAATAAAAAATGGGAATTACACTAAATAAAAAATGAGAATTACACTAAATAAAAAATTGCATAACATAAAATTTATTCAATTTAAATTTTATATTGAAAGATTTAAGGGTATATGCACTTTTTTCTTCATTTTGAAATCATCGTGACAATTAAAATTGAAAGAAACAGTTTTTGTTTTAAAGTTTTAGAAATTAAATGGTAAGTTTAAAAATAATCTTGAAAAAATGAAAAAATTGAAAAATTGAAAAAATGGAAGCATACAAAAAGCGTCAAACATTTATTTCTTTTAAAAGAAACTTAGTATCTGGAACACCCGCTGAGAAAAAACTAAAAACTTATGACAGAAAGCTACAATTACAAACAGCTAATAAATGGAAAGTCTCTACGCTTGCAAAATATAATGCTAATGATTGGCTTGAAATTGAAAGCGTTGACGGAATAGTTACAGCGCTAAAATGCAAAGTATGCCGAGAATATGCATCGCAAATTCAGATTTTAAAAGGCTACACTCCGGAATGGAGCTGTGGAAAAGGATGTAGTTGATTGCAACATAGTTCTGCAATCACGCATGCAGAGGGAATGTCTCATCAGAAGGCTTTTGAGATTTTTATGAAAACGAGAGGCATGAATTTGTGCGATCGAATTGAAAAACTAAACGAGTTGCGGCAGGAAATGCGGCAAACAGACATTTTATCCGGTATTCAAACCATGAATAGTAAAGACTTGGATTTGACAAAAAAAAAATTTGAGGTCGCTTACTTTATAGCAAAAGAACTATCGCTTTGCCTATACCCCAAAATAATTCAATTAGAAGAGAAACATGGTGTAGTTTTTGGTCAGGCTTATAAAAACGAAAACACATGCGGAGTATTTATTGACTACATTGCTCTTAGTTTAGCGATAGATCTCAAAAATAAACTAAATACTCGAAATTTTTTCACTATTTTAATTGACGGTTCTAACGACGTTTCAATTAAGGAAAAAGAAGCTATATTTGCCGTTACTTTTAATCCGGCTCCAACTGGAAAATCTGAAGTAAACGTTGAATGTGATTTTCTTTCACTTTTGGATGTTGAGTATGGAACTTTGCACGGAGTTTTCAACACCATAAAAAAGTCACTCAAGAATATAGAAGTCGTAAATTGCAATAAAAAACTAGTTGGATTTGGTGCGGATGGTGCATCCGTTAACAGAGGGAGCAAGTCGGGCGTTAAAATGTTGCTCAAGGCTGAAGTTCCCTGGATCACGTTTGGCTGGTGTGTAGCACATCGTCTCGAGTTATCATTAAAAGAAAAATTAGGAAAAACAGCCTCATTCAATGACGTTGATTACATGATTTTAAAAATGCATTACATTTACAAAAAATCCCCCAAAAAGTTAAGACAGTTGGGTGAACTCGTTTCTATTTTAGAAGATGATGAATATAACATTGGTGGTTACCGACCTAAGAAAGCCTCCGGTATTTTCTTTTTTTTGCTTGATTTATTTATCTTATATTTATTACCATTACAGTTATGCGTGACGCCTATATTTTTAGTTTTTGCAAGTATAAAGTAAATTATAAAATGTATAATCTTGTTTCATTTTTAGGTACATGATGGATTTCACATAAAGTTCAGGCTTTAGAAATGATTTTAGATAAATACGGTGTTTATTTAACATATCTGGAAAATATGACTGAAGATATAACATTTACCAATGCTGAAAGAGCTAAGTTTAAAGGATACCACAAAAAGTGGATTCATGCTAGAATGCCCCTTTATATCGCGTTGTTTATTGAGATTTTAGCACCAGCAAAGATGTTGTCAAAATGTTTTCAAAGTGATGAGATAGATGTGTTGGCTTCATCAGGGTTTGTTCAACAAGCTAAAAGCCATTTAAATCGTATTCAAAAAACAAAGTTTATTAATTTGCCAACAGTAAAACGTTTTCTCGCCAAAGTGACTGAAAAAGAAGGAAAGTTTTATTTCCAGGGTGTTGCACTTAACGACTTTGTAAATGCTAAACATTTAGTAAAAAAGTCTAAATCTATTCATATCGAGTTGGTAACAAATTCAATCATAGAGCGTTTGGAAACAAGCGATACTATTACTGATATGTATGGTACAAAAGTTTTAAATACAGAAGGTTGGCTTCAAAGTATTGAAAATGAAACATTCTTGGATGAAGGAATAGAAAATCTTTTTGACTTTTATAGAGCGCCGTTGCGACATGCTGGTTTTGCAGGAACTGTAAATGATGTTTTGGATGCTTGGCATAGCTTGGTAAACTACACTGTAAAATATTTAGCACCACATAATACCGGTTATCGTAAGTTATGGCATCAAACTTTTTCTAGCTCAATGAATAATGAATGGGTTCCGGTTTTACTTATTGTCGAACTATTATTTACTTTGCCTGTTTCTAATGCGAAAGTTGAACGCCTTTTTTCACTAATGAATAGAGTAAAAACGGATACAAGAAACTCTCTGAAAGAGAAACGTTTAGAAAATTTAATTCGAGTAAGTTTCGATGAAAAAGATTCCAATTTATTTGATTTAAGTTCTGCTATCGAGTTATGGACCAATGATGCCGTGCGAAGGCCAAAACAATCAGTAAGAAAATGCTATTCCAAAAGAGCAAAAAAAGCAGGATTAAAAACATTAATTGACTTGGATTCATCATCTAACGAATCAAGTAATGAATAGCGCAAAACGAGATTATTTTTTCTCACCTTTTTTTAGTTTAAAAAAGTTTTAATAATCAAATATTGGTTAAAAAGTTCATTACCTTTTTATTGTGTCATTTTTGTTAAAAAACGATCATTATATAAAAAACAATTGTTCGAGTCACAAAAAATATTTTTACGTCACTTAAAAGGCAACGCGTTGAAGTGAAAAAGTGAATTAAGAGCTAAGTTTAAAAGTAAAAACTATAAACGATAACGCGGACGTACGCTGTTGTATTCAAAAACTAATATCATTCAGCTAGTGTTCTAAAAATAGATTTTTTTAGTACTAAAAGGCATTAAGGTAAAGATATTTTAGAAAATTGCACAAAATCAATAGAATTTTCTAAAAACGCAATTTATTGTAGGTTGATAACGGTAAAACAAACAATTTGACGTCACCTAAACTGTACGCTATTAAAGAAAAAGTTAACAAAAATTTGATCGTCTGGATAATTTTTTGATCGTCTACTTTATTACTTTTATTATTTCTGCCGATCAGTGTTGATCAGCAACCTTCAAATAATTATTTCGAGCGCTGATATATATATATATATATATATATATATATATATATATATATATATATATATATATATATATATATAAATCAAATAAATTGACTATAATAAAAAATCATTTATACATCAAAATTGTTATACATGAGTTACCTTTTATTATTAATATTTTTATAATTATTATTATTCATCCACAAAAAATATTATACCTTTATAGTCTGAAAGTTTGACTTCTATAAAATCTCCAGACGGTGATACAGCAGTACCTTCAAAATGTGGAGCAGGCTTTTGAATAAATGCTTTGGCCATTTTTATCCTGTTAATTATAATAAAATAAAAACAATTTAAAAAATAATCAAGTAAATGTATGTGTACACAATAAATTGATACATAAAATTTTCATTTTAGTAATATTAATTACTTAAATATAATACTCAGGCTTTTAGCCAGAATTATATTTTTTACAATGTTTTTGCAAAATTTATTGTTATTGTTCAAACGTTACATTATTTTACATTCCTAAAATGAAAATTTCATAGGTCATTCTAGTCATATTTTAAAAATCTGCAAAATTGTCTGAATAAAATATCAGGAAAAAATCCGGAATGTATTTTCCTTATTTCTTACAATATCCAGGTTCGGAAATATCAGGAAAAAGAATAATCCCTGAAATTTTATAGAAAACAGGGGCTGTATTCTTATCTCTCCATTAGGCTTAAGCATGCATTAGTCAAAAATTTCTTTTTAAACACATTAATAAAAAAATTCTTTAAAAATATGATTTTTTTTTTATACATAAATGTTCTATTTTAGTATTAGTTTTATTTAAACAAATTTAAATAAAGTTTTCATCATGTTTTAACCTTGAAATATCGTAATAAAATTTCAGACAAAAGCTCTGTAAAGCTCAACAGAGAGATGTGAAAACAGCTGTAGATCAAACAATGTTATGTACATTTAAGAAAAAAAAATCAAGAACAAGAAGTCCTTAATAAAAAAGTGACAAATTTTAAAATATTTCATTCAGTTAATGGCATTTTGATAGCAATAGTAATTGATTGTATTCACATAATACCAATTTCATTTAAAAGTTAGGGACATTGACATTTTATATGATAACTGACTTGACATTTTATATGATAACATAAATGGTGAAAAAAGCTGATTATATACCTTTTTGATGGAAAATGGAATGTCTGTGATACAATATTTTCATATTTGGAAGAGTTTTTTTTGTAATGAAATTTTTAATAATTTTTTCATATTTGGAATTATTTTTAAATCTGGAAGGTTATTTAAAAAAAAAATATATAAATTAAGAAGAATAGTTTCGATAATAAAATACTTAAACTTTCATATAAATGTATTGCTAGAAAACTAACAAAACAAACTCGTAATGAATTTGATATTTGGTTTCCAAAAAACATCAGAAGAGTTAATCCTAAAAGATGAAGGGTAGATAATTCATCGTATACATTACTGTTTATTAATGTGAAAAGAGGGAAGTTTGATGAAAATTTTTTAGCAAACAATTCGGTTTTGTATTTAGGTGAGGTAACAAAATCTAAACCATGCAAGAGAGGTGGAATAACAGATTTGCCCATAATATAGACAGTGTTAGGGATTCTCCAGAAGTCTAATTTTTAAAATGAAACATGAGATTTCATGACCTGAAAATAACAGGCTTTGGTGTTAGACAAAACCTTTTATTTAGCCAGCCTAAAAAAAAAAAGTTACAAAAAAAACACATTTGTTAGAAGTAAGATAAAAGAGATTAGAGAGATCAAACCGTGATCAGAAGCACTGAAGGGTGAATGTAGACAAACTGAGTACAGGTTAGGATCAGAAACAAGACATAAGTCAAGTAGCAAGTTGGTTTGGTAAACTTTGCAAGAGATAAGACTCAACAGAGAAAAAGTTACTTTTACGAACACAAATATTAGTGAATAAAAGATTTAGAAAACTTAGTGATAACAATGGTTTTTTGTGTATTATAGTTTTTGGTACTTTTTTACTCAACTTCGGATTGGATTTGTAAAAGAATTTAACTGTTAGTACTCTGATACTTTACAGTTGTTGATGGAATCATCCTATCTGAGATGTTGATTCCATCAACAACTAGGTGGATAACACTGAGTTCAGTAAACCTGACTACAAGCCGACCTCAAAACCATAAAACTGAGTTTTAGACTTGTACCTTCATTAGGAGATAATAAAATGAGTTGCCTAGTCAAAAAAAACAGAGACACAAGCAAAACCAATGCATTGAGTCAAGAAGATCTAGCATTGAACATTTTAAACTGAAAACAATGTATTATAAATACATCTACGCCAGCCTAATAGATGAAGAAGGGGTACAATGCTGGTTAACAGATAGAATTTCTTTACAATTAAGTCTTTGCCCATTAGGTTTTCTAAAAGACAGCAGTTTTAAATTCTGTTAGATTATACAAGATAAAAGTGTAAAAATATAATATAGAAAAATGCTTAAAAATATGTAATAGGTATATGATATGTCATTAGAATAATGGTTGCAAAGCCACATTTACAAAGGATACATAGAACATACACAAGACATTTTTGACCCTAAATCCTAAAAAATAATAATTAAAGTGCAAAAAAACACTGTGTCTTTAACACAAATATTGTCAATATTATTGGTACCTTTCAATTTAATAGCAATATTTTGCAGGAAACTAACATTGATTTAAATAAATTATAGTACTTATAAAATAAAAATAGTGATAAAAAAACTAAAAAAATGATAAAAAAACTAAAAAAAGCATTTTCAAAATAAATTTAATAATAAGATATGCCTTTTAAAAATCACTTAATTTCAAACTATTTTGATGTAGAAAACAATAATTAGGTCCCAAAATGGGCGGAAGTGTATTTCAGGCACCCCTCTTAGGTAAGTCACTAAAAAAAGTCTTATAAGAAACAAATATTGTTGAAAACCATGTCTTAACCAAATTTTAGCTCTAAGGTTAGGCTCAGGCTTTAGTCCAGGGTTTTGATTAGGGTATGGCTTTCAATAAAATAAACTTTATTGATGGGTTTAGGGTTGTAGTATGATTTTCAATAAATGCTTTGCGTAAAATTTGACTCATTTTTTACTGATTTACTTAAAGGGGTGCCTGAAATACACATCCGTTCTAAAACGTTAAAGTACTCAAACAATATTTATTATAAAAAAATTTCAAATAATAAATACATCAAATTTTCTTACCGCTTCTAAACGATGTAAAAGCGTGTTAGTATTTCCAGTCAAGTAAGTGAAAATGCGGGGCGAGGTCCGTTTTTTTAATAAATTTTATAAATTAGATATTTGATTGGCTTATAATGTTACGTAATATAAAAAACAATTTAAAAAAAAATTTATAACAAGTACCATAGTTACAAAAATATAAGTTTTTTGTTTCTTTTAAAAAATATTTTTTTTGTCTCTTAGTTCTAACCATGTAAGAACTAAGACTGTATCTATACAACAAGTCATATTTACTGATATAATGATAAGAAAAGTATCAAATACAACATAAATAAATAAAAGTTGTTAAAAATTGCACATAATGCAGGTAAGTAAAATATAAGAAAATTTACGCTTCTTTGTGTTTTGTTTGAAACATCACTAATAGTCTTTGTGTCAAGTAAAGAAATAACGTACTCTGTGTATCAAGTTCGTGAGCGCGCAGACCTTTTTGATACAGAGTTTTGATCTCCGTAACGTGATAATGGAACCGTTCACATATGAATCATAGATCTTCATTAAAATATCTTCATTAAAATATATATGAATCATAGATCATATTGTACATTACCTTTTATTGCAAATTTTTCTTATACAAAAAAAAAATCCGTTTTTCAATATATTACATTTTGATTCTTATATTCACAAATATAAACATCAAAATGGATTTTTTTAAAATAATCTAATTGAATTTTTGACAATCATACTATGATTGTCAAAAAATCAATTAGATCATTTTAAAAAATGCATTTTGATGTTTATATTTGTGCTAATATAATGAAAAACGGATTTTTTTTTATCTTTTGTATATGAAAAATTTGCAATAAAAGATAGTCAAGCGAACACATCCTATTCACTTACCGTTTTCACAAAATAGTACTCTTCATTGACGGTTTTTACAAGATAATTTCAGCTTTATTTACAAGCATCTTGCTTGTGATGGTTTTTTAAAATTCTACTTAATTTTTTAATAAACTTAGTTTTTTTAACAAAATGCATTATGTCATAATTTGTGATCTATTAGATATAACTTATATAAGTCTAATTATAAATTTATATAAAATAAACTGTCCTTTAAAAGATAACGACTTTTTACGTTTGGTCACATTTCCCTAGACATACACCCACAAGCGCGACGTCAATATTGTTTAAATATTGTTTACAAATTTCAATATTGTTTACAAAATGAAAATCAATTCGTCAAAGGAAGTCTAAACTTAAATTGTTAAAATTTGAATCATATATTTTATTTAATCAATATATTTATCTTAGTTAACTGATTCATCATGATCAGAAATGCATGAAAAATAACCACGCTGTTTTAAAGTCTAAAAAAGGTCCAAACACTTTAAACAGCAGTTTTTGGTTTTTTAAACAAACATTTTCATGTGAGCTTATGTTAATGTCTACGACTTCTTGATTACTTCTTTTTCAGCTGCAACAATCACTGTGGTAATCAATAACTCTAGTCAACCAGATTACATTGTAAAAATTTGGATATATATATATATATATATATTATTGGATTGGCCAGCTTTTTAGTAAATTTTTACCGGCAACTGCAAATATTTTTATTTTGTTAATGTGAGATTTCTGTGCTTGAGAGCGGTTGCGTAGCAGAATTTGTCTGAAATATCAACGTGTTAAAGTAACAGAAAAGTTTAGATAATGATGATAAACGTTGTATAACATTCACCACTTCTAGTTTTTTAATTTCCAATATACTTAACTCACTAGTGTTTTTTTCTCTTCTAGACTGCCATAAACTTATTGTAGGATCACTTTAGCTGAAGAAGATTGTCACCATTTAAAATTTTATTTAGCATGACGTCATTTCCAGCTTAACTCACTCCCACCACACTCACGATTTTAAAGAAAAAACCCACGCACCCTGAGCATGACTGCCCGTAACAATTTTTTTTTAAATATAGCGTTTTATTCTTTCAGAATAAAACATGCCGTGAACAAAAATTGATTCTTAACTAAATTGATCAAGAAACAATGTTACAAGTTTTTTATAATTTTGATCTTAGTTTGATGAAATTTGATTTAAATATATTTTGTTTATACTTTTTAAATAAAATTTTGAGTTATGTATATCATGAAAAGCAGATTAAAGTAAAAATAAACAGTTGCAATTCTTTATAAGCTCCCTGACTGATGTATTTTAAAAGAAAAAATTTGCTTCCCTGGTGTATTTATGATACATAAAGTTTCAATTTCATATTTTTTACAGGTACTTTTTTCTTTTTACTGAAATTTATGAAGACAAAATTTTAGTGATGTGCTGAAAAATTATTACTTTGAAACCTTTTATATCTGACATATAATATGATTTCAAGTATCGCTTTTTTATTTCAATAATTTCTGTATTGAATAGAACATTGAAACTAGAAATCGGTTAATTGTTTAAAAGATTGGAACCGAACTACATTTGGCTATCAAAGTATTTCTTACATATTTTTATTAACAATATTAATAGACATTTTTATTTAATATTTTATTAAATTTTCGTAATTTTTTCTCGTTTTGGGCATAAATCGACCACAAATCTAATTCAAAATACTTTACAAATCGACCACAAATCTAATTCAAAATACTTTAGCATTACTCTCAGCATAGAAAATATCCATATAATAAAGAAAAACAAATCTTTGGTAATATTTATATTTTAAGAAAAGAACAGTTATAGAATTATTAGCAATTATTCTGAAAAACATTTTAAAGTTGTTTTCGGGACATTTTTTAATTTTTTTTGTATAAATTTCTAAACCAAAAAATACATTAACTAAAACAAATTATTAGTAAAGACAAAATTATTTTATAAATTATTCAATCAATATGTCAGTTCTTGCTGAAACATTTAATGTTTTGAAAAATACTCCTGTGATTCTTTGACTCCAGGTTTGATCTGGAAAAAAAAAATTAAGATAAATACACATGAATTCAACAAAATATACTTACATGCATACATAGAGTGAGAAAGAGGCATAAAGTGGCAACTTTAATATAATTATGATGTGAAAAAATGTTCACTTGAAATAAAATAAAAAATTGAGATGGTAGTACTGAATTTTACAAATCTGTCACTTATGATTTCGATTTACTTTCGAACATGGTTTTGCTCCTTTATTCTTTAACGAGTCTTGTTATTATTAGCAAAGTTTTTGGTTCTTTAATTAAAAAAAAGTTAGAGTATGTAGCACATAAATATTACCAATGTAAAATACTTAGATTTTATTAAAACAAAGTATAAAAAAAGTTGATGATTTTTTTACAAAAAAAATATTAGAATGAAAAAATATATAAAAAATAGATTGACAAAAAATGGATTTTAACTAAAACATTTTTTATTTTAATTTAGAAAAAATATTCATTTTATTACTTTGGGTTAATGGTAGAGTTGCAAAAAAAACCGTTTTTTTTTAATTGTGTTTTTTTTTGCAAAAAAAACATGTTTTTTTTGTGTTTTTTGTGTTTTTTATGGTTTTTTTTGTTTTTTAGATTAAAAAAAAAATTAATTACTTTTATTTAATTTTTATTTTTATTATAAATGTAATATAATATATATTAATAACATGATATATGGTAAATATATAGTACATCATTTAAAAGATTTATTTTTAATTAATAACAGATTCTGTATTCTGGCTTTCTTGTTCATTAAGGTCTCCTATTGCCTGGCATATTTTTTTTTAGATTTCTTTTTTTTTTTTTTAATTAAAAATAATTAATAGATTACAAATTGTTTAATATAAATGTTTTTTCATTGGACAAAGTTAATCTTTGTGTTATTTTTATTTACTTGAATATTGTTTGAATAAATAAAATTTTAGCTATCTAATTGCAATTTAAAATAAAATAAAGAAATTAAATATTAAAAATTTAAAAAAGTAATATACAAAAGTAAATAAAACATTTAAGTAAATTTTATTTAACAGTTGGTTCATTTTTGTATTTTGCAATGCAGTGTTATTTCATTCATTTTTATGAATGAAATAACACTGCTAAAATAACATTTTTATTTCCTTCATTCAGTAGTATTATACTTACAATCAACTAGTAGCTAATAGTATAGTTTTTTTGAGATTTATTTAAAAAATTACTTTTTTAAATATTTAATACAGTTTTTTTTTAATATTGGTGATTAGTTTGTAACAGCTATTATATAAGTTAATATGCATTTTATTAAATAGAAAACATTTGTATTTTGTAGGTTTAAGGGCACTGGAACTGTTTCAAGTATTATTATTATCTAAAATTTAATGAATACTAAAAAAAAGTAAAAAAAAATATAAAAAACATGTTTTTAGAACCAGTCTGTTTTTTTTGCAAAAAAAACGTGTTTTTTTTAAAAAAAACACACTGTTTTTTTTGGGGTTGCAACTCTAGTCAATGGCAGAACTACAGGCGCAATTAAAACAACTTTATTAGAAAATATTTTTAAAATTGTATAACTGCAGCTAATGTTTATTTAATGTTAATTTTTAAGTAAAAGAAAATGTTTACTTTTATTAAAGCTGTCACTTAAAGCCTTAATAAAATAAAAAATGTTAAAAATTCAATTTTTAAAATTTCAGTAGGAGTAAATTTTTTTTTTTTATCAAAATAAAAAAAAAAAAATTAAAAATTTATACTGTATCTGAACCAGGTTTCCAACCTGCTGGACAAACTTCACCATGTTTATCTACAAACTGGAAAGCTTGAACTAAACGCAGTGTTTCGTCAACTGAGCGTCCAACAGGAAGATCATTTACTGTTATCTGACGCAATATTCCTTTGTGATCGATAATAAATAAACCTCTAAAAATTACAATTGGATTTTAATTTTTAAAAATATTTAAATAAAAAAAAACAAAAAAACCTTTTCATACCTAAGAGAAATTCCAGCATCTTCTAAAAGAACTCCATAATCTCTAGAAATCTGCTTTGTTAAATCTGATAAAATTGGTATAGACATTTTACCAAGACCACCTTTGTTTCTTGGTTGATTATTCCTGCCAAATAAATTCAAATTATTATTTTTGTAGTAAACATTATTTTAACTAAATGTTATTGGCAAGCAACATAAAAAATTATACCATGCAACATAAAAAATTATACCATGCAAGATGTGAAAATACAGAGTCAACAGAGCAAGCTAAAAGTTCACAGTTAATTTTTTTAAACTCCTCAATTCTGTCACTAAATGCAATAATTTCTGTGGGACAAACATAAGTGAAATCAAGAGGATAAAAAAAAAACACCAAGTATTTTCCTAAAAAAAAAAACATTTTAAATATGAAGCAATATCATATAAAAGTTTTTTTATAATAGACAAAAATATATTTTAATCATTTGAGTTTTTTGAATAGCAATAAAAAACTTTAGTAACAATAGTAACAAGCAAATACCTTGATAATCAGATAACTTAATTTTTACAAATTCTCCTGATGTCGATACAGCTTGACTTTCAAAATGAGGAGCAGGTTTCTGAATGTAAGCTTTGTTCAATTCAATACTAAGAAAAAAAGTCAAGTTTTATTTATTTTTGTTTTTGCTGCTTTTGAAAAATGACATCATTTTTCAAAGGGGCAATATAACAGAAGAAGGAAGGGGAGAGAAGGTGATAGGTTTTTGCCCCCCTTTATTTTATTCCTAGATTAACTTTTATAATAACATTTTGTTTGTACTTTGCTTCTCTTAATAATCAATAAACAAAAAAATGTTCATGCATTAGTGTTTGTTTCTATTTTTATATAAATATATAGTTTTTATTCATAGAATCACTTCTACATTAGTTATCTCAGTGTTGATATATTTAACTTTGCTGTTCGATAACATTTTATTTGACTTTGCTTCTCTTATTATTCAAAAAACAAAAAAATTGTTCATACATTTTGTTTCTATTTTTTTATAAACATTTAGTTGTATATATAGTTAATATAAATAATACAATTGTTAAAATTTAAACTCACAGACGTATAATCATATTACAATATCTTATAGTCAATATATTATTAATAATAACTGTTATCATAGATCAATATGCTCTTGATTTATTACTTTAAGTTTTTTTATTTCAATTTAATAAAACAAAACAAAATGAAAAAATGATTTGACTTCAATTTTCGAATGTTAAAGTTCAAACTATTAATAAATCTATTTTTAAACAATTATATATTTTCTGAGCAAATTTTTCTATGATTCTATGTTTTAAGAGGTTTTGAAAGTTATTCCTGGAAAAATCCACATTCACCATCACTTTACAGCTTTTTTGCATCATTTTTTTAGGTAATTTAATTTAGTGTAAACCAAGGCTGTGGAGTCGGAGTCCCAACATTTTTAGCGGAGTCTGAGTTGCTAAACAAAATCGCGACTCTAACTCCAATAGTAAAACTTCTCGGTATTGCTTGTGCATGTACAAAATATTCAATTAACCTTATATTCATATTAAATCTTCAAAGAACTTTTCATAAGTTTTGCAAAAAAAAAAAATTTTTAATTGTGTAATATTTTTTTAAGAATTCAAAAAAATTTTCAAAAATTTTGCTTTGGAGTCAAAGTTGTGCTCTGAAAATTTCAACAATTGGAGTTGGAGTCTGACTTTTTTTTACAACTCCACACCCCTGGTGTTAACACAAGATTGCACCAGATAAACTATACTTCTCTAGATAATACAACTTCTTGTGTTTAATACAATGGGATATAAAATGCAAGTAACAACATAAACTTAACTTATAAATTGCTGATATTGCAGTTAGATAACAAAATTGTCAAAAGTTTCCTTGATCGCTATTATAAAGTTTTTCTTAGTGTGTAGTGATGAAACCAATCAAACGGTTGAAATAGTTTAAGTGCAATTAAAAAATAAATAGTTAACTCAAATTAATACTTTATTTAAAGGTTTTTGATCAACAAAATTAAAAGTTACAGTTAAAGCTTTTATACAATTTATTATTTTTAAAACTTTATTTTGCTTGGACATATTTAAATCCATTTAAAGTTTTGAATGAATTGATTACATTTTCACTACAAAGATTAAAATAAATTTTAATTTCTGTTGATTTTACTGGGTATTTTTTTTAAAAAGAAACGTTCCTCTTTCAATTAAAGTATTCCAATTTAAGAAACCGCTTGCATTGATTGAAACAAAATGGTGTCATGACAAAACAGATTTTATTTCTAATAAAAATGCAATCAATTAAGACAAAATATAGTTTAAAAATAGTTGTGTTGATAATGGTTGTTTATTTGTATTAATCAAAAATGTTTCATAGTTAAACCATCTTTAAAAATGCTTCCTAGTAAAACATTGGTTAAAAAATATTTTGCTCAGCTGCTCCTTTCGACAGCTTTCTCCAATAAAGTTTGTATAAATATGTAATGATAGTGTATGCCATATTATAAATAAATAACAAGCATATATTTTTATGTTCATATATATCCATGCTATAGGCTAGTATTTAATAAATACTAAATATATGTATAAATTTATAATACATAATGTATTATAAATTTTTCACTAGCCCCAACTATTAACGACTAACAAATATTAAAATTTTGCCAGGAATTCTTTTGGGAAAAACTCCATACTTAGCAATGGCAGGGGCCCTGGTCACTAACTAATAAAAAGTCACGTATCTATATATCTGCTACTGCTTTCTATGCCAGTTTGGAATCTAGACAAGGATCATAAAAATGAAATGAAAGAGCAGTTGAATTTTTGAGTAAGTCATTAACATTATACCAAACATTGCAAAAAATTGCTGAATCTTTCTGAAGACATAAAAAATAATATTAGAGGGTAAATGTGATTAATAAAATTTTTTTGGAGTTTTCATACAAGCTAAATTTGATCCACATTTACAAGAGGTTACACATTGCCTGCATAACTAAATATCTAAATCTTAAAATTTAAATGAAATTATTTCAAAAATGTCTGAAGCAGTTAAAAGTTATTGATATTACAAGCAATGATATTGCTTATAATATCAATAGTTTACTGATTGCCGAGTTGATTTTATTTTCATAGTCATCCATTGGGGAGATTTAAATTCTTAAAATTGCTGAATAAATAAAACTGAATAAATAAACTTTTCTAGAATTTCTTGATCACAGATACATCTGTTGTAGGAATGTTTAATGAAATGGGAAAGTGATTGGCTGACTATGCAAGGCATAAATTTAGAGTAGATTTGAGGCCAAGGCCTGACATCTCTAAATGAAAGTGTTATGAGGAGTTCAAAATTTATTTGGAGATTTGATAACTAATGAATTTGCGCCATACATAAGTTGGTGTCCTTATAACCTAATCTTGATTAATAATGATACAGTTGAAGCCAATGCAACAACCATAACGTTGTTTGGAATACTAAGTCAGATTTTCTACATTTTATGGATCCAGTTAAAAAAGATAAAAAAAATTGCTTATCACAGTAAGGCTTTCTTATCACAGTAAGTAATGGCATTTAAGTTTAATAGCCCAGATTGAGTAAACACAGTCTGTGGTATTAAAAATGGACATTATCAAAGCGCATATAAAAATTTGTTTGGAAAATCAGAACAAAACGAGAGGACATGACTATTGGTCTTCAGAATGCTATTGGAAAGTTTGAACTCATTGTATTCATTGTTGGGGAAATATTATTTTGTGCAATAATTAAAGCCTATGTCAGGATCCAGAGCAAAAAAATAGATCTTGGCACTAGCAGTAAACTGGAACACAACTAACTAGTTCTCTACCATCTGTGAGAGAAACTTCACATTATTTTATGACAATATATAAAAAGGTCAGAGAATTCAAGGTGGTGTACTCTTTTTTAAGGTGAATGTTTTTTATCCTATTATTGACACTGCAATACATCAATTGCAGTCAAGTTTCCAAGGCCACAAACAGGATTTTGAACAAATCACTGATTTATTCACATTTTTGGATCCTCAGCATCTCAAAAATTTGTCGCATACTGAGAGGTGATTTTTTTAAATGTAATTTATCACCTCAAAGCTGAGAGGGCCACTACAAGTTGAGAAGGCTTTTTTATTGTGGTAATAACAATGTCTCAACACATTAACTCTGAAATCCACTATGTCCCTGGTAGTACCAGGGACATAGTGGGATTGAACTTGCTGTAACCAAACTTGTAAAATCATACCCTTATGATATGAATAACAATTTTTTACAAGTAATTTAATCATACCAGGAACAATTTCACAAGATGCAAATTTTAAAACAAAATTTTGCGTAATTTAGAGTTTGATGTGAGAATTTGTTTGTTGGTAAAAGCTAACTAACTTAGGAGTTGCTTTTTAAAGAACCTAATTTAGGTATGAAAAGGTTTAGGGTCTTATAAACTTTTTTGCGCAAGAGCCTGACATTTCATTCATGTCAGTTGTTATGCCACAGTGTCTATGCACTAAACTCATTGTTTTATTTAGTATTGCTTTATTACTCTACAGATCTATTTATAAAGACAATCAGTTAGATTAGAAATAGAAATGATGTAAATATAAATCTTCCAAATTAAGATAAAAATATTTTTACTTTTCTTTAAAGATTGGTACCAATAAATTAATTAAAATGACTTAGATGAACTAGTATATGTTTTTATAATAATTTATTTAATTTTAAATAACAATATAAATGTTTATAAGATTTAAACTTTTTTTTAATATTAGGGCAAATAAATTGTCATTTTTGAACACATAAAAATAAAAATTGTAAACAATAACTATGCTGGTTTGACTTTCCCTGTTGTTTTTCTGGTTATGCCTTATGCACTTATGGAAAAGGTATAAGTTATATTATTTCCATAAGTGCCTAAAGCATAACCAGAAAAACAACGGGGAAAAACGAACCAGCATCTTTATTGTTCACAATTACTAATTGAATTAGTTATATTATAACTAATTCTATTATAACTCAATTAGTAATTGTAACTCACATCAACACATAATCAAAGATTTTGTTTGTAATAAATTTTACCTTGATGAAGAAAACTTTTGCGCTAAAGCAAATGACAAAATTGGCTTAAAAGATTTGACTTGGCATTTTAAACCATTTGTTATGGATTTAGAAATAAATCTTGATACTATAGTCGCCATTTCTAAAAATTTCTCGCTTCACGGAAACTCCCAAAGGTTGAATTATTATCGAAACGAAGAGGAAATTATAAGAAATTTAAGGAAGTACCACCTCCCCCCAACAACAAAAAAAAGTCGTCAGACTGTCAGTTTAATTATCTGAGCCAGAATCAGTCATACTCAGAAATACTCACATACTCTCTGAGTATGAGTATCAGAGCCTATGACACCGGGGGAGCCTGGGGACACGTTTTTTCTAAAGGACCTTTTTTTTTTTAAGAAGAATCTTTACTTTTTCCACAAATTGATGATTGTTCCCCCCTACTTCAAAACCCGAGTCGTCGGCCCTGAGTATTGGCTTTCACATACTCAAAGACTATGTGAAAGTCTATGAAATTTGAAAATGTGTCAAAAGTCAATTTGAGTATGCGAAACTCTTTAAGTATGACCTACGTATAAAACTAAGTAAGATTTTTTGAATCAGAATAAAAAACTTAAAAATTTAATTGTGTTGCCATTGCTAAGTAAACATTGATAAAGTGGAAAAAAAAAAGTGTTTATGCCGCGACTAACTTATCCAAATAATGGCATTTATTCAAGCAGCTAATATAGCCTAAACCCGTAAAAAATTATTATAAAGTAATTGTTGGAAAGTTTATTTTTTCCTCTTAAAAATGAGTTAATGGTATTATTTTTTTGATTTTATAGGGAAAAGTTGTAATGTAGGTGGTAAAAAACGAAAGTAAAAGTTTTTTGTCAAAAAATAATATTTATTAAGTAAATAAATGTTTTATAGTTTTATAAAATATAAATTTATTTTTCTTAATTAAAAACTTCTTAATTCCCTCAATTATGCACTGAGGAAAAAAGTACTACAAAAACGAAAATGTTTATTGCTCAAATTTCAAATTCACTGCAGAAATCATACTTTGATTTTTTTTTAATAGTTTAATAGTAAATCTTTACTATAATGTAGAGATTTCAGCAAATTTCAAGTAAAAAGATGATTTTTGAAGCCATTCTGTTTCATATTTTTGTAAATTTTCAATCGAAACTTATTTGCTTTATTACTTGTAATTTATATATTAATTTTTTAATTAAATTAAATTGTAATTTATACATTAATATATTACTTGTAATTTATATATTAACTATAATTTCAGCAAAGAAAATTTTTTATCATAATTTAATGTTTGTGATGATCTTAAGTCAAAGTTAACTTATATCATGGTTTTAAGGATAAGGTTTTTTTTTCATATTTATATGTTTTAGTATATATTCAAGGTTTTTATATGAGCTTTCATATTTTTCATATGTTTTATTTCCGTTTTTAAAAAAAGCTAGCTTGTACTCAATTTCATAAATTGGTTCATATCATGCTTTGATCTCTACAAAACCTTTATTTTATAAAGATCACTTCTTTTTCAGAGTCACCCTATCATTTTTTTTTTTACTACTACCTTAAAGTTGACTGGGATTCATTTTATGGTTTCCTATATGACCATCCCCATCATTATTTCCTTATTTTAGGCAAGGATGTATATATATATGTATGTATATGTGGTATATATATATGTATATATATATTATATATGTGTATTATAAATATATTATATATATATGTATGTGTGTATATGTTATATGTATATATGTATGTATATTATATATGTATATATATATTGTGTATGTATATTATATATGTATGTATATGTGTACGTGTATATGTATATATATATATGTATGTATGTTTATATATATATATATATATATATATATGTATGTATGTATGCTTTATATTATTTAGTACCAATGGATAACATTATCCATTGATACTAAATCAGTCAGGTCAGGTTTATCCTGCTACTGGTAACATGTAACCCAGTACAATCTGCTTCATGTCCTGCTGCCTTGTAGGATATGCCTTTTTAGGCAAAGGCTAGGAGATGCAAACTCCGACATAAAACACCCCCTGCCTTGGGGCTCTTGGTTGAGTAAAGGCTAGAGATGGTGTCTCAATAAAAATACTCATCTTGGGCAGATGTTAAATGCATCCGGCTGCTGTCTTGTAGAAGGCCTCCTAGGCAAAGACTTAAGGGGTAAACAGATTCTATCTGTTGACCAGCCTCGCACCCCTTCGTCATCTATTAGGCTGGCGCAGATGTATTTTTAATACATTGTTTCCAGTTTAGGATGTTGAACGCTGGATCTTCTTGACTCGATTCATGGGTTTGCTTGTGTCTCTGTTTTTATGACTAGGCAACTCATTCTATTATCTCCTAATCAGGGTACAGCTCTAAAACTCAGTTTTATGGTTCTGAGGCCGGCTGGTAGTCAGGTTTCCCGAACTCTGTGGTAGCTCTAAGAGAGGCTGATTCCATCAACAGCTGAAAAATATCAGAGTACTAATAGTGCCATGTTGCGCATGGATGGTGTCCCTGTTTGTACTTTTGGTGTGCATTGCCAAGGCCACATTGGAGCCCTTTGTTACGGCTTAGGGTTTATTAGTAGAAATGAGGCAACTGCTTGAGCTATAGAACAGTGTACTGAGTACTATCAATGTTTCGAGTCAAGTTCTTTAACGAATTTAAAAATGAAGTAACAAAAACTATAAAACACAAAAAACCACAGTCATCACCAAGTTTGCTAAACCTATCATTCACCAATATTCGTGGTCTTCGAAGTAACTTTTCTTCTGTTGAGTCTTATCTCTTGCAAAGTTCACCAGACCTGCTTGCTCTTTGTGAGACTAATTTGAGTTCAGCTATCTCATCTTGTGATCTTAGTGTTGATGGTTATCTTCCTTTAATTCGTAAAGACTCCAATAGTCACATGCTTGGCCTGGGCATTTACATTCGTAAGAATTCACCCATTTGTCGGGAAACTAGGTTTGAATCCACAGACTACTCTTTTATGTGCTTTCGTTTAGCACCACTTCACTCTATCACCTTTCTCTTTGTTCTATATCGCTCTCCCTCATCCCAAGACTGCACTCTTCTTGATGTTATTTCTGATTATATTGACCAAGCCCTCATTCTTTATCCATCAGCCAATTTTGTTGTTGTCGGTGACTTCACACTGAATGGCTTGGCTCAAGTGTCAGTAACTCTGCAGGCAATAAGGCCCTCAACTTTTGTCTTTCTCAATCCAAAACTCAAATAGTCAACTTTCCAACTTGCTTTCCAGACAACCCGAATCATTTACCTTCTCTACTCGACTTATGTCTTGTTTCTGATCCTAGTCAGTGTTCAGTTTCTTCACACCCACCCTTAGGTGCGTCTGATCATGGCTTGGTCTCTCTAAAACTATTATCTCATTCTTCTTTACCATCACAATCCCCCTATCATCGTACATCTTACAACTACCTTAAAGCTGACTGGGACTCTTTTCGTGACTTTCTTCGTGATGGCGCCTGGGTAGAAGTCTTTCGTCTCCCTGTTGACAAATGTGCTTCTTACATAACTTCGTGGATTCAGGCTGGCATGGAATCCTTTATTCCCTCTCGACGATTCCAGGTCGAGCCTCACTCTTCTCCATGGTTTTCCTCACATTGTGCTGCTGCAATTGCCAATCGAAACCATTACTTCCATATCTATTAGCAAAACAATTCTCCAGAAAACAGACATCTCTTTATTACTGCTAGGAACCATTGTAAAAAGGTTTTGTCTAACGCCAAAACCCGCTATTCTCAGATCATGAAATCTCGTATTTCATCACAAAAATTAGGCTCTCGTGACTTCTGGAGAATCTTTAATAGTATCATTAATAAGGGCAAGTCTGTAATTCCACCTCTTTTGTACGGTTCAGACTTTGTCACCTCACCTAAAGACAAAGCTGAATTGTTTGCCAAGAACTTTTCATCAATATCATCTCTTGATGCCACTAGTTGCGTTTTACCTGATATACCCGTCAAACAGGTTGATCCATTGCTCGACATTCGTATTACTCCAGCTTCTGTATCTAAAGTGATTTCCTGCTTAGACTCTTCTACAGCTTGCGGCCCGGACAACATACCTGTTATAATCTTGCAGGAGTGTTCTCCTGAGCTGTCGTCTATCTTTTCAAAACTATTCAATAAGTGCTTATCAGAGTCTTGTTTTCCAGCCTGCTGGAAAGCAGCATCTGTTATCCCTATTTTTAAAAATTCTGGAGAGCAATCTGACTCATCTAACTACCGTCCCATTAGTCTTCTTCCTATCATAAGTAAGGTTTTTGAATCTTTAATTAACAAACACTTAATCTCTCATCTCGAATCTCATAACCTACTTTCTTATCATCAGTATGGATTTCGATCTTCTCGTTCTACGGCTGATTTGCTATCAGTAATAACCGATAGGTTTTATCGCGAATTAGATAAAGGTGGAGAGGTTAAGGCCATTGCTCTTGACATTTCTAAAGCGTTTGATAAAGTTTGGCATGCTGGTCTCCTCCATAAGCTTTCTTCTTATGGTGTATCTGGAAACATCTTTAAGATTATTGAATCCTTCCTTTCCAATCGTAGTATAAAAGTTGTCCTTGATGGACAGCACGCTTCTTCTTATTCTGTAACCTCAGGGGTTCCCCAAGGTTCAATCCTTGGCCCTATACTCTTTTTAATTTACATTAACGATTTTCCAGATATTCTCACATCTAAGGTGGCATTGTTCGCTGATGATACTACTATTTATTCTTGTCACGATAAGAAGCCAACTCCCTCCGATTGCTTGCAGGGGGCATCTGAGCTCGAAAAGGATCTCACTTCTGCTACAGCATGGGGCTCGCAGTGGCTGGTGAACTTTAATTCAGATAAAACTCAATTTTTTTCGGCCAATCGTTATCGCAATTATTTAGACCTTTCTATGTTTATGAACGGTAATGTACTCGATGAGTCTCCTACCCTTCATCTTCTAGGATTAACTCTTACTTCTGATCTTTCTTGGAAACCTTATATCAAATCCGTTGCAAAATTAGCATCTGCTAAAGTTGCTTCTCTTTATCGAGCTCTACACTTTCTTACTCTGGATTCTATTCTCTATCTCTATAAATCTCAAATCTGGCCTTGTATGGAATACTGTTGCCATATCTGGGGCAGATCTTCTAATGATGCCCTTTCTCTTTTAGACAAGGTGCAAAAACGCATTGTAAACATAGTTGAACCTGCTCTTGCACCCAACCTTC